GATTGATCTTAATAACAATACTTTAAATCAGGAAATGGAGGCATAAAGAGATGAAATGATATGTCCAAAGTTCACTCAGTACAGAGATGGAACAGTGGGTTTTCAAACCCAGGTCAGTCTCACACGAAGTCCATTTCCTGCCTACTACCCATGTTGCCTCTCTGTGTCTACACGTATCTAGGCAGTTGTGGTGTACACCTACATATCAACGTAGGCAAGTGTCTTTTAAGTATAAAAATAGGTGTGCACTGGTATGTGCTCTATGGATTATTAGCAGAGGCATGAGCTTCTTTGAGAACGAATATTTGGCTGAACATCTTTGTATATCCTATCAACAAAGCATGAGAGTGTTTTTTACAGAGTGTACCCACTAAGCTGTGAGGTTGTCACTTAACAATTAACTGTCACTCTCAACACTGTGAAGTTTCTGGTACTGGGTACTCAGCCCATAACCACTTAACAGAATAAACGAATGAAGAAATGCCCACCTAAACAAATATCACCACACAAGAGTGGTCCTAGTTGGAATTTTATTTCACTTTTTCCCCTCCCCCCATAATCAGGTCGGGAAACAGCGATTCTTCTGCTCCAATTTCATAACTTTTGCAGCCCTTTCTACTCTCTAGACCAGAAAAAGAAACAGTTACTAATTTGGGGACTTTCACTGATTTGGGAACATCTTTAATCCCATTAAATGTCTGCTCACAGACATTCTACAATATGAAATGTTGCCACTAGAGAAACATAGAAGAGGAAGGATTTTAAGGTCATCTGGTTTAGCCCTGAGGCTTTGGAGCAAACTCTCCTACAACAGTCCTGTAATGTGACTGCCTTGCTTTCAATGCCTTTCAATATCAGCCCCTAAATATCAATCCAGATGGCAGCAGAAGGTCCTAGATTTGCAAGAATGCTTTGGTTTTAAATAGACTATTGCAATGTCCCCATAAACTAGGGTGACAGTTTCCCTGATGCAGTCTGGTTTGCCCTTAATATTACAGCACCATTACTAACAGCAGCCACTTTTACCCTCAAAACTGTCTTGGTTTCGACAATATATTATATGGCCATGCTTCATAAGCACACAGGCATTTATAACATGCAATCCAAGTTTTGGTTCAGAAAACAGGGACACGCACACACCACCATCCGTCCTTCTTTCCCTTCTTACCTAACGCATGCTCTTTGATGCGCTCATGCTTGTCTCATGATTGCCTCCTCCCTTGTACAAAGTTTGTTCCTGCCTCTGAGTTTGCTCATGTTCCTCTCCCTGCCTGAAATGTACTCCTTCCTCAACTCCACTTATGTAAATCTTACCCATCTTTCAAAACTGCGCTGAAGCCCCATTTCCATGAAGCCGCCTCTGTCTACCTCAACCCACACTGATTTCTCCCTTCTCTTAACTTCTACTTGTGACATTTGCTTTGCTAAAATAGGGTAAGCAGTGAAAGGCACGTCTTCAGTGATGGATTCACTCCTCCTCCAAGCGCTCTGCTGCACTTTGTTTAGAAGCCCGCAGGTAGTATCTGGTTCTGGTAATTTGGTCCCAAACCCAACAGGTCGGCTTTCTTCAAAGGTGGTTCATTAAAAGAAATGAGAACATAATACATAATCTATGTATGTATGCTTTTTTCTTATAAAACTGTTGTTCAATTCTAAGAAAGCTGCAAACAGAACATTTAAACTGGCGGCTCTCTTGGAGATTTCCTTGCCTAACCTCTTACTCAAAGCACATGCGCACCCCCCTCTACAGCATCCTTGAAAGACGGCCATCCAACTTATTTGCAAACACATCCTTTGAGCACATCTCTCCAGGCACCTTGTTCCCTTGCTGGACAGCTCTGGTTGTTAAAGATCTTCCTTAAAATACAGTATTTCTCAAAGTTAAGTTTATGGACCATCTGCACCATAATTATTTCAGGCGCTTGTTAAAATCACAGATTCCCAAGTCTAACGCCAGGCGTACTGAATCAGCATTTGGAGCAAGGAGAGAAACAGTAATGTGCATTGTTAACAGGTTTTCCAGGTGATGTTTGTTATACCAGAGCATAAGATCCTCTGTTAGAATCAGTGGATTCTATAAGTATAACTTAGTTCTACCTTCCTAACAACGGAGAGCAAGACCCTTCCTTGGTCTTCAAGGCAGCTCTTCAAACACTGAGGGATGGGTCCACTCTCTCTCCCTTACATCTTTAATAATCTTTCATAGCCCAGGTTATTTAAGTCTTCCTTCTACTGCAAAGTTCCCTACCCCAAACCAACTTGGACACATTCCTCTGGGTCTCCTCCTGCTTGCCAATGTCCTTCCCAAAATGTGATGCCCACGGGAGGGGGAGAGAGCGCTAGATTTCTAATGCTTTTACCACATGCTGACAATTTTGTGAAGTCTATCAACTCATATTCCCGCCAGCTGACAACAAGAGGCCCCATTTCAGCCTCAACTAACCGGCAGTAAGGACTATCGTTTTGTAAATCCTTGCTAATAGGCACAAACATTGACTCCTCATAGTTGTTTTAATTTGGTTGACTTTATTTATATTTTTCACTTATACATTGGCCATTGGTAGTTCTTTTGTGAATTGTCTCCTCCTGTCCTTTCTGAGTTTTTTTCTTTCCCCTTTTAATTTATTATATCAGTTGCTGTGGCAAGTCCTTTCTAGGCATTATCTCATTGAATCCTCAAAACAACACTTCCCCCACCTTATAAGTAAAGAGACTGAGACTTCAGGAACTTATAATGAGGAAACACTGTTAGATCTTCAACTTCCTCACTGATTTATTTCTTCATTTAATCAACACTTTTTGGAGGACAGCACTTCATCTTCCAGACATTTGGTAAAGTGAGTTAATAGAGCCAAGTATTTGGGACGAAATTATGAGGAAGGTTCAGAAGAACACTGGTGATTTTCACAACTCTATTACTTCCTTACTTCTACCTAAAATTTCCTTTATTCTTTGTTGTTTTTCCTGGCATAGAGATAACAGTGTCCAAGTTGTAATCAGCTAGTGGATAGCAACGCTATTTACTGATACATGGTCTAAGGAGGATCTGGAGTATCTGTTCATATATTTGCCAAGAGAGGTAATATGTGGCTGACCCTAGAAGAGCACCAGAAAAGGATCAAAGGGAGTAATTTGGAAATAAGGCAGAACTCCATAACAAATTACAGTCCATCAGCTGGCAGGAGTATCAGTAGATAATAGTTCAAAAGTATATACACAAGTAAGATTGGCTTTCATTTTTTCCATTTTGTATCATCTGATATCCCGAGACCAATGTTTATGCAATTAACTAAGATCCTAATGTTAATTCATTATTTATGGTATTTTAGTCCAAACAGCTGAGCCTCTTTTAGTTTTGGTTAATTTAATCAAATCCCATGCAATTATACTTTAATTAAAAATACATATGCATAAAGTTGAAATGATATTTAAATCAATTGAATTTACAACCAGATTAAAAGAAATGCAAACAATTAAGTACAGATCTGAGTTGGAGGCAAAATTAAAAATAATTTAATCCTACTCTCTTTTTCTACCTAAAAAGTAGCCAAGACGCAAAGGTCATGAGTTCTCAATGACACACAGTGAGGGGTACCATTGAGATTCAAATCCAGGTTTTCTGACTTGAAATGGAGAGTCTGGGCAGCTGGGCCTTTCACTGTCATTTAACTGTTCCCAACTTTACTCAAACAAACCCTGGTCCTTCAAAGCTCTCATAAAGTCTTCCAAACAAAACCTATAAACTAGACGTCAAAACAGCTAATGCCATTTTAAAGGTCTTGGTTCCCAGCTTCATGAGTCCACGCAGCCTGATAAAAATCCTTAGGGGCTATATTCTTCTATAAGCTTTGGTGGAAACTCAATTTCTTCCTTACTGGTTTTTAATAGAAACATATTCAATTCCAAGGTCCTACATTTTGCCCCAAATCTTTCTCTCACACAATAAACAAACATAATGAAAAAGAAAAAAAAAAATTGATTATGTAAATTATGATGCCCATTTCGCCAAATAAGAGGGCATACATCTTTTCTTTCTTCTTTACTAAGTTTCCCATTACTCTCTTTTCAGACCTATAATTTTAAACTACACAAAAATTTTAAGTTCACTTTCTCAACACAAGAATTTTAGTTCCTCAAAACTTACTGCCTGGCAACCATGCTCTTTTCACAGAACATAAAGAGAATTTTAACATTTAAACAGATTGTTCTAACTACAAACACAAAGTAAATTTTAAAAAGCAAGGGATACTCCAGTGTACTTGACTGTTGATTGTTAATATAGTTTCTAGAATTTTATCCTCCAGAACTTAGTCTGAATTATTTGCTAGCCTACACTCACCACCAGACAGGTCTTCCAGCCCATCCCCACCTTCACCCACCAGGAATGCCCTCCACCATACACACTCCCCTACAAACGAGTTGCCTGCTCCCACAGAGACCCTTCCTCCATGCACATCCTCTCCCCCACACCCCACACACAAACAAAAACCAATGCTGGGGGCTGGCCCGGCGCCATAGCAGTTAAGTTCTGCACTCCGCTTCAGTGGCCCGGGGTTTGCAGGTTCGGATCCCGGGCACAGACCTGCGCACTGCTTGTCAAGCTGTGCTGTGGCAGGCGTCCCACATATACAATAGAGGAAGATGGGCATGGATGTTGGCCCAGGGCCAATCTTCCTCTGCAAGGTGAGGAGGATTGGCAATGGCTGGTAGCTCAGGGCTAATCTTCATCAAAAGAAAAAAAAACAACCCTGGCTATGATCATAAAGTAGCACATTATACCAAGGGTTGGCCTGCATAGTCAAACCCTAAAACCATTCAAACTGACCCCCTGAAAGCCATGTTAACTTGATAAACTCCGCCTGTCAACTGTCTCACAAGAAACAGGCTCTTTCAAACCTCTTTTTGGAAACTCAGTCACAGTGAACCCCACTGCCTTCAGACTCAACTCGAAGGCCTTCCCCCAGAAAGCACAGAGGTCAGAGGTCAAGGAGCACACTCACTGCAAATCTGACTTGGCAGTTCTCCTCTCCCAAGTAGCACAGGTCTCCTGAGACGTTGGTCTCCAGCCACAGGTGCTCTCCGTTCACGGCGTTCTCCTGGAAGGAAAAGACCCACCTGACTTCAGTTTTCTTTTCAGGCACAAAGGAGGGAGATCTCAAATTTTGATTTTAGATGCAAGAAATTTAGTGAACCCAAGGAGTTGAAACACTTCTCATTTTACCCCTGAAAATACTACTGGAGTTGGTGCTATCAAAATCCTAGAAACAGAAAAAAGTGTTTGGAAAAGCTTATTTGAGCCATAAATAAAATAGACATTAGGTCTATAGATGCTTTATCCATGAATGTGGTAATCTGTGGAATATATATTAAATGAATGAGGGAAAAAAATCCTTAAATTGTTCGATGTAAGGTCTTACTTATCTAGACCAACACTGCAGATTCCATGACAATGGAGAGCAAAATTCTATTGAAAGTTGCCTTTACTTAGTAAATTAAGAAAGATGATAGTAGTATTAAAGTATTTTAAGTATAGACTGTTTGAAAACACATTCATATCAGTAATGGGTAAATTATACTTATAAGCCAGAGGCTTCTCAAAACTTAGTTTAAGTCACTGTGTACTCAAAGTATAATAAATTTCTACTAATTTAAATATTTTACTAATAGTAGGGCCTTTACCCATTTAATTTTAAATTTTTCAGATTGAATGATTTCCCTGCTTCTAAAAATATTCACACCCTTCTGACTGCAAACAGAGCTGCTATGACGTATGATACGAAGTGCAACAATCCCATGTCCAGAAATGGGCAAAGTTTCATTGGGGCGGGAGTGCAATACTTTTTTTTAAACAGGATGATGAATAGGATTCCACATTCCTTCTTATGGCACACTACCTTAGAAACAGGAAAGATTTATATATTAATTGTACATTTTGCTCATTTGCTTAAAAAGGGCCCTGAACTATTAAGGGAAGCATTGTATTGGGTTAACCATAAAGGAAAGTGACTAAGTCCACAGGTCTTGCAGGAAATTGCTCTTGTTTTTATTTTGCTCATCATAAGTATATGGGCATATAAGTATTTTCCATGGTGGATAATATAGACTGAATTGTGTCCCCTCAAACTTCATATGTTGAAGCCCTAATCCCCAATGTGATAGTGTTTAAAGATGAGGCCTGTGGGAGGTAAGTAGGTCATGAGGGTAGGGCCCTGGTGATTGAGATTAGTGCCCTTATAAGAAGAGACACGAGAGGGCTCTCTCTCTCTCTCTCTCCACGCACACACCAAGGAAAGACCATGTGAGGACACAGCAAGAAGGTAGCCATCTACAAGCCAGGAAGTGGATTCTCACTAGGAACCGAATCTATGGGCACCTTGATCTTGGACTTCCCAGCCTCTAGTACCGTGAGAAATAAATTCTTGTTGTTTAAGCCACCCAGTTACGGTATTTTGTTACAGCAGCCTGAGCAGACTAATACAGGGCATGACTTCAATAAGGACTTTTATAGAATAATCAAGCAATTTAGAAGTCCATCTTATATGTGTCACCTTTATTATAACCCACTCCAGAAATGTCCACATGACAGCCCTCTGAATCCCAAAGCTCAGCACAGAGAAGCAGAGATATACACCAAAGGGAAGCTGGAAAAAAATGCCAAGTATCATCCATTTCTTAAAATAAATGTATTTCTTCAGATTCAAATACAATTCTTCCCTTTCAGAACCTATAGGCTCAACTATTTTCAGACAAGAATAATTAAAGGTTATAGATGCTTCACAATCCAAGAAAGGTGACACCACCTCTTAGAAGAGTGAATGTGAGATGTGAAGAAGCAGGAGAAATTCACAAGTTATGTAGATTTTGAGGGATCAGGAACAATGAACAAGGAGACCCTGAGGTGGGGACATGCCCTACACATCTCAGAGCGCCTCAAAACCATTCCAAAAAGGAAAGCAATGCTGATGAGAGTCATCACTACGTCAAAAGGTGACCATCTTTTCATGAAAACTTATTTGTCTCTTTTGGTCATTTTTCCCTATAGGAAGTTATGTTCAATTTTTTTCATGGAAGTGAATGGAAAAATGGGCTTCACCTCACAGTCAACCTTGTGGAAAAACAACAGAAGCAAGAGAAGAACAGCTGTAAGTTTGGACCCAAAAGTTTTCAGATAGTGATGGATGAGGACAATACTTCAAAAATAAATACTAAGGAAATCTAAACACAGGAAAAATCCTGCCAACTCTTCTATAAAGTGAAGTATAAAATGTTGCAGTAAGGAAAATGTCAAAAACCGTTGGTAATACCAATCTAGGCAGGCCAGAAATTACGTCCTGGTAGGTCAAAGTAAGGTAAGCAGGAGGAGGCAAGACCCAGGGACTCAGAGGTTTGCAAGCACATCACTAACTCACTGGGCTGGTAGGGTTCACCCAGGCCAGGGGCTGCTTGCTCCCTGCATACAGCATACTCTCCACAAGCACTCAGAGGCTTGCTAATAAACTTTGCCTCATATTCAGGCAGGACCACTAGGATTAGCTACCCTCACTCTTGAGTCGGGATCTGATTAGAAAGACTGAACTTTTTTTTAAGAGAAGAGGGAAAGAAAAAGAGCCCTCCTGCCACAGTGGTTCTAACACACTGGTTCTCAAATCTGACTGTTCATTAAAACACCCTGGTGAGTTTTTAAGAATACCTAGGTACCATCCCCAGACAGTGTGCTTTAGCTAATAGTAAGTGAAAGCTGGATATCAGGAGTTTTCAAAGTTCTAAGGTGACTCTAATGTGCAGCAGAGTCTGAGACCCAATAATACAGTAGACCCTACCCTACCTCTTCAAGATTGGTAGATAATAGATTCTAGAACTTGTCTATGATTGAAGACCTATTAGACTTGATACTTCTCTGTCCTTGTACAATCAATAGAGAAGGAGAAGGTGAGAGAGGAAGACAGATGTGGCATAAGGTAACCCAGAGGGGTTTTAAGGAAAGAGACATGAAACCACAGACACATAGTGAGTAGACTTCAAGTTAACAAGATAGTTCCTGAAGTTAATGGAAAAGGAAACAAACTCACACAAGCCTTTAAAGAAGCAATAGAATAAATTAAAACGTTCATACATTTACCTGGTAATCTCACTTTGGGGAATGTACCCTAAGGAAATAATCTTAGTGGAAGAAAAAACTATATACATTAAAAGGTTTATTTCTACCATCTAATAACAAAAAAATTGGAACCATCACAAATGCCCAATGGAGAAGAATGGTTACAAAAAGTAGGATAATACATGAAATGGAATATTATAAAGTCATCAAGAAGTACAAATATGAAGATTAGCCATATGAAAAACTATATGATGTAAAGTGAAATGAATAAAATAAAATTCAAAATTAACTGTATATTATGATCACAACTCTGTATAAAAAGAAGGGCTGAAAAAATTACAATATATCAGTAGTTTGATTTCTTGACCCACACATCCCCTTGCAGATTCTTCTACACATTGCTTCCCTTTACTGGAAAAATCCAAGAAAGAGTTTTCCTTATTTGCTGTCTCTGCTTCCTTTCTACTCCATTATTTCTTGAACACAATTCCATCAGACTTTCTTCTGCCCGGTCCACTATAACTACTTTTGTCAAGATCATCAGTGACTTCACATAGCTAAATCCAATGGCCAATTCTCAGTCTTCATCTTAATCAACAGTTTTTGACACAGATTTGTCCCTTCTTCTAGGGACACTTTCTTTCCAGAAACACTATGCTCTTTTTGTTTTTCTTGTACCTCAATGGCCACTCTGTCCCAGTCTCCTTTGCTAGATCTTTCCTGTGTTTCCAAACTCTAAATATTGGAGCATTCCACAGCTCAATGCTCATATCTTTACTCTTCTCCATCTACCTTCAGTCTTTGGGTTACTGCATTCAGTTCTCATGACTTTAGATTCCATCAATTAATTGTTGCCTCCCAAATTATTCATCCAATATGAATCTCTTCTTTGAACTTCAAACTCATAAAAAACAGCCCTCTCAACATCTCCACTTAAAGATCTAATAAGCACCTCAAAATTTTACATTCTCAAAACTGAACTCTTACTCTCTAAATCTGCTCTTACTCTAATCTTCTCCCTGAATTTTCAGGAAATGGTATTTCCATTCTTACAGCTGCAAATATTTGCTGAAAACTTTGAGGTCATTCTAGGTCTCTCTTTCCCATGCCTATCCATTAGCTAATGTTCTTGACTCTAGTTTCAAAATGTATATGAAACTCAACTATTTTTCAACACTTTTACTGTTACCACCTGATCCTCCATCATCTTTGGCTTGGAATATCCCAAGAGCTCCCCAAGTGGTGTCCCTGCTCCACTCTTGCCTCCCCATGGTCTGTTCTCCACGAAGCAACCAAAGTAATTGCTTTAAGATGTAAATCCGATCAAGTCACTGATCTGCTCAAAACTCTTCAATGGCTATCCATGGACTTGGAAGAGTGCAAAGTCCTCACTTATCCAGGGCCTGGGTCCCTCTCAGACTTCCTTTCCTGTCTCTCTGCAATCTCATTTCCTGTCCCGTTTACCTTGTTTTCTATCACACTCCCTCTCAGTCACTGACTTGCAGTCACACTGGTCTCCTTGCTATTTCTTAGGCAGGCTAAGGAAGCTCTCACCCCAGTTCCACTGAATTTGCTGCTCCCTTAACTAAAAATTGCTTACACGAGATACCTGCATTATGCATTCTTCATTTCATTCAGGTCTCTGTTCAAATGTCCCCACAGCAAAGACCGTTCACTGCACATTCTTTCTTTTTTTGTGTGTGAGGAAGACCAGCCCTAAGCTAACATCTATTGCCAATCCTCCTCCTTTTTTTTTTCCCTTTTTCTCCCCAAAGCCCCAGTAGATAGTTGTATGTCATAGCTGCACATCCTTCTAGTTGCTGTATGTGGGACGCTGCCTCAGCATGGCCTGACAAGCGGTGCATCGGTGCGCACCCAGGATCCGAACCCGGGCCGCCAGGAGCGGAGCACGCGCACTTAATCACTAAGCCACGGGGCCAGCCCCTGCACATTCTGTTTACTATATCCAAATGGCTTATTCCTCTCCTTTCTGACTCT